TTAAATTGTCCAAAAGTAACTGATTGACAGCTGACTAACAGCTGCATTTCTCTTTAAATTCACTCGTGACTTCTGATTTCGTGGGTTCCAAAGCATCATATTTCAGTTTTTTGTATTTGCAAAACAGTTCTTAGTGTTTCAGATCATAATACAGATTTAGATCATAATACCCTCTCAATAACTTCACCCCGTGCATGGCCTCAAGGCTCATTACAGACTGATAGTGTCTCCTCCCCTCCCCCCGCCCTCTGCTCCGTCCCTCTTTGTTTCACTGGGATGCCTGTGGTGATGTGCACAGTGGCCATTCATGTTTTTCATCACTTGGATATGATATTGAAAACTTCTGACACTGGCTCTTTATGCTTCTTCTAAGAAATGCCTGGGCAAATCTGTGCACCCGCAGTCCCTTGAGGCAACATTTTTTCATGGCAGTCAGTGTTGGGCTGTTGACTCATATTGTGGCCTCTAGGCCCACTGCACCCTTCCCCCAGCTCCTGACCTCCTCCTCTTCATAGCATCTGGGTTATTCACACACATGGTTTGTCGTGGCCTGTGGCCTCCAGCGTGCCCCTAAGGGCCATCCTGTACAGCAAGAGGAGCTGGCCCCAAATCCCTAGTCACAACCCAAAAGCTGATAGGTGCATGGTGGCAGCCTGAAGCCCCAGGCCTTTGCCTCTTTCCCCGTCTTCCTTTCTTTTTCCACACCCCACACTGCCCAAACACACACAGACACACACACACACGCAAAGCTTTTCTGTCTCACCAATGATTGCCAAATGGAGCTCTATCACACAGTGTTAATTGGCTGTAATTAAGATGTCTTGTGGTTTCTTAAACCACAATTTCAGTCAAGATGCATAATAGTAATCTCTCACTTACGCTGCCTTGGTTGTCAAATCTGAAAGCTTTTGTCTTTAAAGGATTAGTTCTTTCTGATTTATTGATTTCAAGCCATGCGTCAGGGGAAGGTTAACAACAGTGAGAACACACAAGATGCATAACATCTGATATTCAGCATAGCCATGCTCGCACTGTTAAAGCCCTTTAAAAAGTAGGACATAGACTATGCATGACCAAAGGTGGCCTTTTTAATGTTTTATGTTCCACATTTGTTCATCTGTGATGTATGATTACAGATGATGCTCTGATCGGGTGTCATGATCTCAGACAGCTGTGTCCACCTGCTAAATTTCTAACTACAACTGACAGTCGGGAAGCGTGATAAGTGTGTGTGGGTAGTGTCCTGTGAGGAGACGGTACTGTAAGTGAGAGTGCCGACCTGCGTGCAATTGTGTGTGTGTCAAGCGTACTGTCCAAAATGTCTTCCATTCAGTGTGTCAGCTGCAGTCTCTGTATGTGGCAAAGCTCGTCAGCTGCAGGCGTGTGTTGGTGACAGCTGTTTCCCTGCCCTGCTCCGGCTCTGTTCTGTTCACCGGGAGGCCTACCCCGTTTAGACTATTAATCTACCACTTACTGTACACGGTAATTGCCATCCCATGTTGAAAAGAGCCCCGGGACAAGAAACCGTGATGATCTTGGCAGCGT